CTGCCTGCTGCTGGGTGCTGCTGTCTTCAGCCTCGCAGCCTGGGGAAGCTGCCCCACCCCTCCCATGGTGGAAAACCCCACCTGGGCCCAGCCATTGGTGCAGGTGGCTACAGGCTGGGGGGGAAGCGCTGGGATGCCACTGAACGTCCCAGGTGAGCCTTGATGGCCTCTCAGCCCCTTCCCTCGGCCACTCAGCCACTGGCTCCGCCCACACACGTGGCCCCTCCTCCTCCCATGCTCAGTCCCCTCCAAACCCACAGAACCCTCCAAACCTGGTGCTCTCAACCCAGAACCGTGGCCCTGTTTTCCTGCGTGCCTGGAGCATGTGGGATTTCCAGCGCTGGAAGTTTAGAAGGCAGATCTAGCGTCTGCGTTTGCTTGGTCAGTTGCAAAGGCATTGCCCATTTTCTCTCGGAGCAGAGGCGTTTGCCATCACGTGCTCCACCACGCCATGGGCAAGGGCCAAGAGGGCTCTCTCTGCGCTCTGTGTCCAGTGTGGACCCTGTGGTTTGTTCCTTCTGAGCCCAGCCAGGACAGAGCTGGCAGCCTCAGCTTCTGAGCTCTGGGGCTCAGCGTGGAGGAAGGGCGCTGCCATTCTCCAGCGGTCGGCCTGTGAAGCAGCTGTGGGAACTCCTCAGATGCGGTGTCTCCATCGCTCCTGGCTCCTGGGAACCTAAGGTCCTGCAGCGGTCCTGAAGAGTGGCTGTGGTCGGGTCCCGGAAACCGTGTGTCCCTGCGCCTCGCCCGGCTAAGCCTGCACAGGCAGTGTCCATGGCCACACACAATCGGGAATGTAACTGGGGCTGAGGAAGTGAACCTCAGTAAGTCACACAGGCTGATTTTTATAGGTTTCCATTCTTCAAAAACTCCACTCTTTGAAAAACATATTCTCCTGGCTTTTTCCATCAAAAGCACGCATTCTAGGCAGTCTGTCTGACGACTATGACCGTCGCCAGTGCTGGGAGCTGGCATGTGGGAGGGAAAGTTCTGGGTCCTTCTGGAACACAGAATGGGCTGGGGGCAGGGTGGGGAGATGCGCTTGACCCGAGTCCCAGCTCTGCACTGTCCCCAGGCAGGAGCTTCACCTCTGAGACCCTCGGGGCTCTGTGGAAACAAGAGGCGATGCCCAGGTGGGACACTGCCCTGGAACTGCCTCTGCCCTGAATAAATGTCGGCTCCCTTTGAAGCGAGTGTGGCAATGGCAGATGAGTTCTGTGGCTGACTGTAAGTTAATTAGGACAACTCTTGCTCTCTGATTATTCTTAGATACAAAGTTAATTTGGAAAGATGTATGTTTCATTTAAAGTTGCATGGTTAAAGAGATGTGGGAGCTGAGCTTAATCAAGAGAGACTGGCTCCTAGCGTGCAAGGTCTCTGTCAGAGAAGGAAAACATCATTAGATTAAGGGTTTCCCTCCCTCCTAGCACAGCCACGAGGCCGCCGGCCCCTCCTGCTCTGGACGGTGGATGGACCTGGTGTGAACTCCGTGTGGCTCCCAGAGGGGCCGAGGTGCGCACACGCCAGCACCAGGAGGGCAGCGGGGCTTGGGCACTGCGGGGGCGCGGTGGGGGCAGCGCCCATGGAGCTGACCCTGGACCCACCCCTGCACTGAGCCCACATGGCCTGTGTCCTCACAGGTACATGCCACACGGAACCCCCGAGAAGGTGTGAGCCCCGGCTGCGTTTTAAGCCCTGGAGGGGAGGATGTTGAGAGTGGCTTCAGACTCCTGCGCCCTCCACCGTGGGCGGAGGACTGTGGCCGGCGTCTGCACTCAGCTGAAAGCTTCCTGCAAGAAGGTGTGGAGCCTCCTGTCTAAGGCATCTCCCTGCCTCTCAGGTGTCTCTGTGGAGCGCAGGGTGCCTGTGGCCTGCCCCAAAGGCCCAGCAGCCCCAGCATCCTTTGGACCTGGACCCACTGTGAGGAGAGGGCCGTGTTCCACGGTGTCCTGAGGGCAGGACAGGAAGCTTGCAGGGAGAGCCTGGCTAGAGCAGTCAGTCCCTGTCCCTCTGGGCCTGACAGAGACGGGGCCTTTGGGCCTTGATGGAGCCGCTCATGGGGGCAGGCCTTGGGTCCCCCCATGGGGCTCCTGTCTCGGGAGCAGAGGTCCCTCCCTGTGTCCTGGCCCTCGGGCCCCTGCGTGTTGCTGGCGTGCAGCAGTGTGTGCTGAGCACCAGAGTTAGGGAGACGCTGTTGCCCGCTGGAGGCCCTGCCGGCCACCGCCTGGCCCGTGCTGTGTCTCCACAGGTCGTGGGGCAAGAGGCAGAGTGTGTGGCCTGTGTTCGGGAGGGCAGCCCCTGCAGGGGGTTAAATATTTTGATTTTTCTTTTCTTGTCTTATAATGTTATGCCAGAGTCAGATTGGAAAGAAAGGCATGATATATAGGGCCAAATAAGACCCATCTGATGAGCAGTTACGGTGAAGGGCCTGACTCCCCAGTCACCTTAGATAGGAATTTGTGCCAGATAAAATCAGAGCTTAGTCCCCACATTGAAAGGTATTTCTGGGAGAAGGGTCTGAGAAGGGAGATGGGGGCCTTGGAAGTGTGGTGGGGGACACTCTGTGTGCGGGTAACGGTCTTTTAGCTGGCTGGGGGCCTGGGAGCTGTGTGGAGGGACCCCTGCGTGCGGGGGAAGGGTCTCCTAGTTGGCTGGGGGCTTGAACTCCCACCACACATTCATTACCCATTTGTTTCCAAAAGGGATTTAATGCTGTTCTCAATCAGGAACAGACAACTCAGCAGGGATGGGATGATGGTGGAAGGCAGGCGTTGTGGGATTCAGAGTGGTAACTTTTGAACACCAAGCTTCCTGGCAGTCAAGGCAAAAAGGGCCATCTGTGTCTGAAGGGAGGTGTCTTCCAGGGACCAGAGGCTTCTCAGCACAGGTGCCTTGGCACAGGCTGCCTGACCTCAGACACAGATGCCCCTCTGCCCTCTACCCGTGACCCAGGGCCAAGTCTCCCAGGGATCTCCCACCTGCAGTTGTCTTGATGGCAGCTCCAGCATCCACCCGTCACCCACCGCACTCTGCCCACTGCCGTGTCCTGAGAGTCAGGGTCTCTCCCACAGAACTGGAGACTCCAGAGGGGTCTGGGTAAACCTCTACCCCTTCAGCCCTGGCCTCGTTAATTCTGTAATATTTGGTTTTGAGGAAATCGACGATAAAGGTTTAGATCTTAAGAAAATCACTCCAGGTTGGTGGTATTCTTGGCAAAGCCAGTCTGGTGCCCATTTCTGCTGGAGATGATAAAAGATGAGATTCGAGGTGCCCCTTTGGATTTGGGCCGTCCCATTCTGTCTGCCACTCGGAATTGTTCAATGGACCTAACATTTTTGTCTGAAAGGCTTGGGGAGTTTCTCCTCTGCCCTGTGCTCCTCCTGAGGGAGCCCCTCATTCTGGGAGGGGGCTTGAGGTGACCCTGGGGGCCGTGGCAGCAGCTGGTTCCCGAGGGACGGGGCCCACTGGGGCTCCCTGAGGCTCCTCCGATGGCGGGGGCAGTGGCAGGTGGGACCCGGGCAGATGGACAGTTCTGGAAAGACCGACCCGGCCGGACAGGCAGAGCTCCTGCGCAGTGGTGAGGCCAGCTCTGCCCGTCTCCAGGTGCTGCCGCTCTTGGCTCCCAAGGGCTAAGGCTGTCTCCAGACACACAAAGGCCTTTGATTCACTCCGCAAATCCGATGCTGACATGCTGCCTCTCCGCGTCTCACTTTGTTTACTTAGAGCGACTTTATTGAACTGGCTTTTCGGTGACAAATGCTTGCATGTTGCTGTGTGCTTAGAGGAAGATTAATAGATTATTTGCAACTCCTGTAATGAAAACATTACGCAGGCACAGTGATGGGCTGGGTCCTGCTCATTTCCGAGGCTAACTGCCGAGGCACACAGGCTGTTACAAAATGAAGTGCCATCCATAACCTCCCACATTTATTAAAATATAATTGCTTTAATGAAATTCTTTCAGAATAAGACATAGTTCAAACAACACACTGCCTTCATGAGGTGAATTCCTGGCCAATTACAGAAGTGACTGTGGAGTCTCTCACTTTAAATCAGATGGTTTTTCCTTGTAAATGTGGAGAGGACGTGCCGGGGCTGCTCTGGGCTCTGGTCGGGCTATTTGAACCCTTCCACTTTGACCTTAGAAATGCTTCCGTGGTTTTTAAAAATGCAGAAAATACACCCCCAGCTCCGTGGTGGCCCGGGAGGTGGGTCGTGGCACGCACCCCCACGACACCCTCGCAGGCCCGGCTGCCGGCTCTCCCACAGGTGTGCTGGTTTACGATGGGTGGGTGCAGGGGGCGGCAGTGGCCAGCATCGATCTGCCTGTCTCACAACTGGGGCTTCTACAGAAAATTAATGAAGAAACAGACCGGCAGCTGGAGAGTCTTTAAAAATGGTCCTTTCACCTGGAATCGGTCTCCCTCTCGGCCTCAAGTGCCACGTACCTCACTGGTAAAGAGGGGTCTCCAGACAGTGTGGAAGGTGCCGCTCCTGTTCCTGCAGTCTGACTGGGTGCTCCGCCCTCCAAGGACAGTGTGGAAGGTGCCTTGCCTGTTCCCATGGTCTGACTGGGTGCCCTGCTCTCCCCGGACAGTGTGGAAGGTGCTGCTCCTGTTCCCGTGTTCTGACTGCGTGCCCTGCCCTCCCGGGACTGTGGAAGGCACTGCTTGTATTCCTGCGGTCTGACTGGGTGCTCTCCAGGACAGTGTGGAAGGCGCCGCTCATGTTCCCGCGGTCTGACTGGTTGCCCTGCTGTCCCCAGACAGCGTGGAAGGTGCTGATTGTGTTCCCGCGGTCTGACTGGGTGCTCTCCAGGACAGTGTGGAAGGTGCTGTTCGTGTTCCTGTGGTCTGACTCGGTGCCCTGCTCTCCCTTTTCTTTCTGGAACAAAGTGGATTGTGCTTTGCTGTGGCATTCTCAGCTGTGACAAGTCTGATTGAAATGATTTGGCAAATGAGCGGTTCTCTGTCCACGCCGCTGCTCTGTTCTCTTGGTGGCAGGTGTGGGCTGCAGCAGGAACAGTGGCCTTCACCCATTCATGCACCCAGCGCCATTCCTAGTCCTGAGACCCACAAAACCCACTGACAAGGTGCAGCTCTCGTTCTCAGAGACAAAGGCCTTGGAGAGGACATGGGAGCCTGGACAGGTGGGCTGTGGCCGGGAGGCGCTGTGAGTTGCCCGCAGGAGGTGGGTTTGGCTGGGAAGAACCCGCGTCCCACAGCTGTGCTTTCCTATAGCTCTCGACCGGCCCAGTGCGAAGTGACTCCAGCAACCATTCCAGGGTCTGAGCCCCGAGCTCAGAGGGGGTGGGAGTGGCTTCTCGGCCAAGTCCAGTGGGGAAGCCCGTGGCTGCCAAGGTCACAGCCACAGTGTCACCCAAACCTGGCCCGCACTGAGGCTTTCACCTAGGTGCGACTTGCCATCTTGGCTGATCTGTGCCGAGGGAGGGACACCGATTTCTCATTTCTCCGAATGAGTTTCTCTTACAAGGTGTGTGTCTTCCTGGCTTTGGGACAATGTTCCTGCCATTCTTCAAGGCCTCTGCCTGGTGCCCACCTTGCCCATATGAGCTCCCGGCCCTCTCCCAGCACCTGGTGGGTCCTCCTCTCGGGTTCCTGGGGGCTGGAGCTGTCTGCCCTGGGACACAAGCACCTCTTCACTTCAGTGGAGCCCCGAAGATGACAGGCCATGGAGGCAACACTGGGTTCACTGCGGCCACCTGATCTCATTGCACGGGCATGGGTGACCCCAGCTCACGACTTCGGGTCTCGCCCTGACCCCCACCCCTGTGAAGTCCACAGCTGGATGAAAGCATCCAGCTCCACACCGGCACTTCCTCAGGAGGAGGTAGGGTGGCCTCCCACAGGAAATGGGCACATTCTCAGCTCCCTGGCTCTGCCTCTTCGCAGGTTTCTGGATGAGGGAGTCCAGCACCTGTGGGACCCCCTCGTGCTCAGGCAGAGGCAGCTGCTCCTGCTCTGGGCTGCACAGCCCTTGGCTCTTCTGATGAGCTCTGCTCCCACAAGGACAGCACGGGGTTCCCCACGCTGCTGGGCTCAGCCTCAGTTTCCCATCACAGACCGGTCTGAATCTTCTGCGAGGCCATCATGAACTTCTACCTGCACCTCATTTAAAAATATGTAGCTGGGTAACATTGCACCTTTATCCACAGACTCCCAAAGTGGGGGTGGGGATGGGGGGGCAGAGGGGAGGGGAGGTAAGGGGAGACCTGAGTCTCCTGGCTGCGAATTTGGACACAATACCAGCAGGGAGGGCCCATGGCTCAAACCAGCCATAATTCCTCTGCTTTCCCCGAGTCATGGTTTTTAAATGCTTTGTCTAGATCGCCTCCAATCTTACGAGGTGGTGAATGGCGGGCATTTGTCTTGGGGATAGTGGATGCTGCTACTTCCCCAGAAGCCACAGGCAGGTCCTCATCCTGCCTTCCGGGGCTGATGAAAATGCTCCCACTCCACACCTGCGATCCAGGCAGCCCAGGCAGTGAGGGCCTGCAGCTGGGCCGGGTGACCTCCCACCAGCTCACCCTCGGACCACACCCACCACGCAGGTTTAAACTCCAGCTGGCACTCAGGTTCTGGGTGATCTTAAACACATCGCCTGTTCCTCTTTTTTTGATGTTTGATTTTTCTTAAAAGACTTTTTACTTTTTCAGAGTAGTTTTACAGTCACAGAGACATGGAGAAAAAGGTCCAGAGAGTTCCCATACGCCTCCTGCTCCCACATAGGCACAGCCTCCCCACCTTCCACACGCCGTGCTGGAGATGCACGTTGGTGACGGTCGCAATGGACCCGCACGGACGTGTCATGACCGTCTGGGTCCCGGAGCTCTCCACGGGGCTCCCCACCGCGGCTCACTCCATGGGTTCGGACGCATGTATGATCGCAGCCGTCTGCCCTGCGCTGTCCCATGGAGCAGTTTCGCCACTAAACACCCTCTGCGCTCTGCCTGTTTGTCTCTCTCCTCGAGCCCCGGGCCACCTGTCATCTTTCTACCACTGCCGCAGTATCGCCTTTCCCAGAAGTTCATCCAGGTGGACTCGGGCAGGGTGGAGGCTTTGAGGCTGGCTTTGTTCCCTCCACGCTGTGCGTTCCAGCTGCTTCCACATGTTTTTTCTCGTGCCTTGATGGTTCCTTCCTCGTTCTAGTGCCCAGCAATCCTCCGCCGCCCAGGTGTCCCCAGTCTATTCACTCACCACCTGACGGGCGTCTTGCTTATCCCAGCTTGGGCGGGTGAGAGGGAAGCTGCTGTGAACACCTGTGTACAGGTTTCCATGGGGATAAAGGAGTTCAGCTCTTCTGGGCAGGTTCCAAGGTGCGTGCACACTGGGTCACAGGGTCAGAGCCCATGCTGACGTTTGTAAGCTCCCAAACTGTCCTACAATGTGGCAGTGCTCTCAGCAGGGAAGGGGTGTCCCTGCAGTGCCATGTCCTCACAGCACTGGGTGCCGCTGCGTGCAGGGGGTTGGCTGTTCTGGCAGGTGTGTGAGGGCTGCCTCGTATTTCCCTGGTTACTCGGGTCGGGAGCATCTTCTCTTACATGTTTCTGCCATCTTGTGAGGGGTCTGCTGAGGTCTTTGATCCACTTTTAAATTGGGCTTTTGTTGTTGACTTTTAAGGGCCCTTGTATTTTTCCCTTTACCAAATGCGTCTTTTGCAAATGTTTTCTCCCAGCCTGTCTTCTCTTATACTCTTGACGGTGTTCTTTTGCGGAGCAAAAAATTTTAAGAAAGTCCAGCTTGCCAATTATTTCATAAGGTATACGTTTGGTGTTGCTCATCTGAATTCTTCCTATGTTATTTTCTAGGAATTTTATAGTTTTGTGTTTTACATCTAAGTCCGTGGCCCATTTTGAGTTAATTGTTGTGAAAGGTGTAAGGTCTGACTCTAGACTCATTTATTAGCATGTGGGTGCTCGGTTGTTCAGCACCGTTTTTGGAGAAGACCATCTTCCTCTGTTGCATTGCCTTTGCTCCTTTGTCAAATATCAGTTGACTGTATCTATGTGGGTCTGTGTGGGATCTCTATTTTGTTCCATTGATTTATTGTCTATTCCTTTGCCAGTATCACCCTTTCTTTGTAGTGAGCTGTGCTGGCTATTATGGGTCTTTTTCCTCCCCACATAAACTTTAAAATCAGTTTGGTCGATATCCACAAAATAACTTGCTGAAATTTTGACTAGGATAACATTGAATCTATAGATCAAATCGCAAAGAATGAACTCTTGACAATATTGAATCTTCCTGTCCATGAACATGTAGCAAGAGGAGGTGAGAGGCATCCTCACTTCTTGAATTGCTTGAATCTGGGAGGCAGAGGCTGCAGTGAGCCTTGCAGTGTCCTCAAGAAGAGGGGACATCCTTGCCTTGTTCCTCATCTCTATTTCTTTATTCTTGTTTAACTTTGTTGATCAGAGTTTTATAGTTTTCCTTATATGGACCTTGTCATATTTTATTAGATTTACACCTAAGTATTTCATTTGAGGGGGCCAATGTGATTATATTATGTTTTAATTTCAAATTCCTTGTTCATTGCTAGTATATATGAAAGCAACTGACTTTGGTATGCTAATCTTGTATCCTGCAAACTTGCTATAATTGCTTATTAGTTCCAGGAGAGTTTTATGGGTTTTCTTGTATCAATTCTTTCAGATTTTCTACATAGATAATCATGTTATCTGTGGACAGTTTTATTCCTTTCCAATCAGTATATTTTTGATTTCCTTTTCTTGTCTTATTGCATTAGGTAGGACTTCTAGTATGACACTGAAAAGAAGACATGAGAGAGGACATCCTTGCCTTGTTGCTGATCTTGGTAGGAAAGCTTTGAGTTTCTCACCATTATTATTGTAGATGATCTGTGGCAAGTTGAAGAAGTTCTATATTTCTAGTTCACTGAGTTTTTATCATGAATGGGTGCTGGGTTTTTGTCAAGTGCTTTTTCAGCATCTCTGGATGTGGTCATGCAATTTTTCCAACCTAGCATGTTGATGTGATGGATCACGTTATTGATTTCCAAATGTTGAACCAGATTTGCACACCTAGGGTACGTCCACGTGGTCTTGGTGTGTGAATCTTTCTACATTATGGAATTTGATTTGGTGGTATTTGGCTGAGGATTTTTGCATCTGTGTTCATGAGATATATTGGTCTGTGATTTTCTTTATCTGGTTTTGGTAGTAGAATGATGCTGGCCTCATAGAATGAGTTTGGAAACATTTTCTCTGTTTTTTTATCTTCTGAAAAAGATTGCAGAGAATTCGCATAATTTATTCCTTACATGTTAGGCAAAATTCACTAGTAAACCCATCTATATTTCATGCTGATTTTGAAACTTGTTAATTAACTAATTAATTTTGAGACAGAGTCTCACTGTGTTACCCAGGCTGGAGTGCAGTACTGTGATCTCAGCTCACTGTAGCCTCTGCCTCCCAGGTTCAAGCAGTTCTCCTGCTTCAGCCTCCCAAGTCACTGGGATTACAGATGTGTGCCAACACATGTGGCTAATTTTTGGGGGGATTTTTAGAAGAAATGCAGTTTCGCCTTGTTGCCCAGGCTGGTCTTGAACTTCTGGCTTCAAGTGATCCTCCTGCCTTGGCTTCCCAAAGTGCTGAAATTACAGGCATGGGCCACCATGCTCAGCCTGGAAAAGTTGTTAATTATTTATTCAATTTCTTCAATAGTTACAGGTCTATTTAGATTGGCTAGTTCTTTTCATATGAGTTTTGGCAGATTGTCTTTCAAGGAATTGCACCATTTCTGTAGTGATGTCCCCTCTTCTCTCTTATTTTCTTAGCCCGGATAGAGACATATCAATTTTCTTTGTCTTTTCAAATAACTAGCTTTTGGTATCATTGCTTTTCTCTATTGATTTTCTATCTTCAATCTTATTGATTTCTGCTCTAATTTGTATGATGTCTTTTCTTCTGCTTACTTTGGATTCAATCTGCTTTTCTTTTTCTAGTCTCCTAAGATGGGTGCTTAGGGTAATTGGTTTTAGATCTTTCTTCGTTTTCTAACATATACATGCTGTAAATGTCCCTCTAAGTACTGCTTTTGTTGCATCCCACAAATTTTGATAAGTTGTGTTTTCATTTTCATTTAGCTCAAAATGTTTTTACATTTCCCT